TAAATTTGTTAGTCTCTAAGGTGCCACAAGTCCTCCTGTTCTTCTATATTTTAAAAACAGCTCCACAGGTGACCCTGGCAACTACAGGCCAGTGAGCCTCACTTCAGTACTGGGCAAATTGGTTGAAACTATCGTAAAGATCAAAATTGTCAGACACATAGATGAACATAATTTGTTGGGAAATAGTCGACATGGTTTTTGTAAAGGGAAATCATGCTTCACCAATCTATTAGAATTCTTTGAGCACACGAAGCAGGGGGATACAGTGGATATAGTGTATTTAGATTTTCAGAAAGCCTTTGACAAAGTCCCTCACCAAAGGCTCTTAAGCAAAGTAAGCTGTCATGGGATAAGAGGGAAGGTCCTCTCATGGATTGGTAACTGGTTAAAAGTTAGGAAACAAAGCGTAAGAATAAATGGCCAGTTTTCAGAATGGAGAGAGGAAAATAGTTGTGTCCCCCAAGGATCTGTACTGGGACCAATCCTATTCAACATATTCATAAATGATCTGGAAAAAGGGGTAAACAGTGAGGTGGCAAAATTTGCAGATGATACAAAACTACTCAAGATAGTTAAGTCCCAGGCAGACTGTGAAGACCTACAAAAGGATCTCACAAAACTGGGTGACTGGGCAACAAAATGGCAGATGAAATTTAATGTTGATAAATGCAAAGTAATGCACATTGGAAAGCATAGTCCCAACTATACATATCAAATGATGGGGTTTAAATTAGCTGTTACCACTCAAGAAAGAGATCTCAGAGTCATTGTGGATAGTTCTCTGAAAACATCCACTCAATGTGCAGCGGCAGTCAAAAAAGCAAACATAATGCTGGGAATAATTTAAAAAGGGATAGATAATAGGACAGAAAATATCATCTTGCCTCTATATAAATCCATGGTATGCCCACACCTTGAATACTGTGCAGATGTGGTCGCCCCATCTCAAAAAAGATATATTGGCAGGACTGTCCCTACCATTTCTGGTGCCCTACACAGCCCGAGCACATGCCCCCCCTCTGCGTGGGTGGGAGGGCTGCGAGGCCATGGGGGCTGGAGCAGGGCCGGGAGGGTGGGAGGCTCACTTAAGAAAGGGGGTCAGGCGGGAGGCTGCGAATGGTGTGGTTCTGGGCAACTGCCCCAGGCCCTAGGGCTTTGTCAAGCTGGGCCTTAAAAACATCTAAGGATGAAGATTCCACCACCTCCTTAGGTAACCCATTCCAGTGCTTCATCACCCTCCTAGTGAAATAGTGTTTCCTAATTTCCAACCTAGACCCCCCCCACTGCAACTTGAGACCATTGCTCCTTGTTCTGTCATCTGCCACCACTCATCTTCCTTCAGAGAAAGAGAGAATGTGTGTGGGAAGGGTTGGGGAGGGTTAGGAGAATAAACACCTGGAAGAAGAAATAAGAGATTTATTTCCAAATAGGGACTTGTCACTTGCTGCTTCAGTGATTGCTAAAATGTAGTGACGTCACCTACCTGGGTAAGTAGAAAATAAACATTAATGAGAGACTGAGACTAGTTCACTTTGTTTCCTTCTTTGGACTTAGTGCCACTTAGCAGGTAATAGCCTGTGGCATTTTCATGTCTCTGCTCTTTTGGCTGATGTCTGGCTCCTTTGCCTTGCTCAGCTGTGAGACTCCTCCTGCTGCTCAGGGGTGCTGGAACGGGGGCGAGGGAAGGCAGGTCACTTTTAAAAGAGTGGGGGCTTTTTGAAAGCTTGCCTCTCCCCCCAACAGAAGTTGGTCCAATAAAAGATAGATTAGCTCACGCACCTTCATGAGTGGTGGGTATAATAGGCCAGGAGCGACCACGTTAGCTCTCTGAAAGGACAAAGTCATATAGAACTCACACATTCCTATCTGAAACAAGGAATGATTGAAATCACAATTACTGGATTCCTCTGGATGAAATGTACTGTGTGAATACTGATAGTTGTTCAGGGATGGCCACTTGAAAAGAGGCGATGAGTCTCTTGTAACTTACCCTGAGCTACAGTGTAACCGTCTCCCTTCTTCCCTGCAGAGAAAAGGCAAATTTCAGTGAATGCAGCTCCCAAGGTAGGAACCAACTCCGATCTGTGTCCACAGCTCAGAAACAGGGCCCCTGGCCCAGCACAGTCCCCTGGCGCTCAGTAATGGACTCAAGTTCCCCGGCGCTCATCACTGGCAGGAGAGAAAGACACAATGAGACAAAGTTTCCAAAGAACTCAGCCCACTGGGTGCTGAGCTCTTTGGAAAAAATCTAGCCTCATATCATAGAATCATAGAATCATAGAATATCAGAGTTGGAAGGGACCCCAAGAGGTCATCTAGTCCAACCCCCTGCTCAAAGCAGGACCAATTCCCAGCTAAATCATCCCAGCCAGGGCTTTGTCAAGCCGGGCCTTAAAAACCTCCAAGGAAGGAGACTCCACGACCTCCCTAGGTAACGCATTCCAGTGTTTCACCACCCTCCTAGTGAAATAGTTTTTCCTGATATCCAACCTGGACTTCCCCACCGCAACTTGAGACCATTGCTCCTTGTTCTGTCATCTGCCACCACTGAGAACAGCCGAGCTCCATCCTCTTTGGAACCCCCCTTCAAGTAGTTGAAGGCTGCTATCAAATCCCCCCTCATTCTTCTCT